AACACTGACAATAGAGGCTTTTTTGCGGAAAACAAATCTGAGCTGTCTACACTGGCCCTTCTGCACAAAAGGACTTTTGCCCGAACGGGAGCAGCATAGTATTTCCGCAAGAACACTGACAATAGAGGCTTTTTTGCGGAAAACAAATCTGAGCTGTCTACACTGGCCCTTCTGCACAAAAGGACTTTTGCCCGAACGGGAGCAGCATAGTATTTCCGCAAGAACACTGACAATAGAGGCTTTTTTGCGGAAAAGCGCGTCTAGATTGGCACGGATGCTTTTCCGCAGAAAGTGCTTTTGCAGAAAAGCATCCATACCAATCTAGACGCTCTGTTCCGAAAGTGCTTTTAACGGAAAACTTTTCCGTTAAAAGTAGTTCTGGAAAATCATGCCAGTCTAGACACAGCCCAACTGAGTGGGTATTCTGGGTCCTCACACTGACTCTTCCAGGCCATGCAGAGTCCTTTCTGCTGCAGTGCATGACTTGCCTTTCCAGTTAGAGAGCCTCTCCAGCCAGCTGTTCCCTGACCCTAGCTGGTCTGTCCTTCCTCTTTCCAGAATCCTGCTCCAATCCTACCTATCAACAAGTCTTTCTCATATGTACCAACCACAACATCTGATTCCTTTGTTTTCTTTCTGGTGATTTCCTCCCTCCCTGCCTCCTGCACACGACTCCTAGGGATGTGAAAGTTAACCGGCAAACATCACCCTAAATGAGACTGTCTTCCCCAAGGGACATATCTATGTTCTCCATGGTGTGGACATGGAGTCCCTATCCAGGATTCCATCCAGTTCTTTATACAAATGGCATATTGCAGGTGTGGCACCAGACTGGCTGTTTGCTTCTTTTGCCTTCTGGTGCGCCCCCTGAGTTCCTTTATTTTTGCCCTGCATTGTAGGGTTTCTCGCTTACACTCCTTCTCACAAAGGGCTTGAGAAATGTGACCATAGATATTCCATTTCCTGTGGGTCACTCGTTCCTGTGATTGTACCATTCTTCACCACATAAACTGATAAGATCCAAAAGCTCTGCACTGTTCTAAGCAGAAGAGTGTCTTGAGCAATAGCCACTCATATTTCCCTGAGAAGATGCCATGAGGACCACTACACAATGAGCCAGACACCAGGAAATGGATTTTTAAATTTCCTGGGGTTTGCAGATGGGAAGAGTGCATCTGTTGTGTTCACGAGGGATATAGTAGTGTAGTCCGATGTAACCGATAAGCAAAAGTTTATAGGGTAATGCTATAGACTACATGCATTCCCCGCTCCCCCCCTATCGCCAGTACATTTTTAGCAGGCTGGCCAGCAGCCCAGCTCAACCTTGCCTTGTGCCGGGCCTGGGACCTGCCCCTGCTGTAGTGCTGTATTAGGAGCCAGGCGGGCAAGCAGTCTGGCTCTGTTTTGGCTCGTGCTGGGTCTGGGAGATCAGTGCCCTTCCTCCCCCCTGGACAGGCGCTGCTGCCTCTGATACAGAGGCAGCAGCTTGGGGTGACAGGCAGCCGGTACATGAGGGGAGCTGGTTTTTAAACTGGCTCCCTTCCCAGACAAGCTCCTGCCATACAGAGGCGGCAGGGCGCCTCTCAGGAGTGGGGCTGGAGCGCACGGCTGCTGGCCCTCCTCCCAGGGACTGTAGAATAGTCAAGTAACCGATAAAAATTCATGAGGTTAATTGACTATTCAGTTAACTGATATTTAACATCCCTGCTGTTGACGTGGCTGCAGAGCAGCAGTGCTGACCAGACTGGCTGATTGGGCATGACGGGAAATATGCTGGAGATCAATAAACTCAACCAAAAAGATTACTGTAATTGTTGACAGTAAAGGGTGCGGGGACAGAAGTGTCACGTGGAGGTAGAAGTTTTTTGTCACCAAAACTGGGCATTTGTCGTGACATTTGTCATGTCACAATGTGAACGCTCTCTGGGTTGTGTTGCCAAAAAGTGTGGACAAGAGCCTAAAAACAAAAGCTTCACCCCTTTTGAAAATGAGCATCCCTGATTTTCTTATATTATTATGTTTCTGTGTCAGGATCCTTTTGCTTTTCTTTAAAACCTTTTTCCTATATTGGCTTACATAACTGTTCTGTCCTGGTTCTCCTCTTACCTCTTCAATTGCTCTATTACTGTGTCCTTCAGAGGAATGTCCTCATCTGCCCACCTTTCAGCTTCCTGGAGGTGAGAAAGGGGGTGAAGGTGAAAGAGCTCGGAAGGAATTCAGGTGTTCTCTCCTGTTTTTTTTAAGGGTGAAATAACTTGGGTTTTTTGGGTTTTTTTTCCCTCTCCTCTCTGAACCAGTGCATCTGTGACTCTGGGGAGCTTTTTTTGTAAGCAGAGCCTATAAAGGCAAGGTATTTAATGTCTGTGTGGGCCCCCACCTTCTGCACTTGGAGTGCCATTGTGGGGAAACATCACTGACAGTGTCCAACTTCACGTTCTGACTAACACTACTCCGATGCTTCTTACACTTGCCACCTTTACTTTTAACATCACTTGCACTTCCTTTAGGCATGTGGAAGGATTGCACAAGATAACACAATACTGTACAGTATCAGTCACAAATGTACTGTAAAGAATGATGCGGCAGGCACGCATTTCTTGTCAGAACATGACTGCACACAACAAAGACAGAGCTTCAACGCTTAGCGCGAGTTGCTACAGTGCACAATGTTCCTCTGCGTCTGCACAGTGCATGAGTTGGCCATTTTCTTTGATTTGCGTTCAGGCAGCTGACTTTCATTTGAGCAAATTTTTCTATCTGAGCAACGTAAGATAGGAGAATGGGAGGACTTCTAACAAAACAGTTCCTAAATTCATCCACTACATTTTTGCCGAACCGACGTATACCGGTGCGACTTATAGCGTTGGGCAGCCTGTATTTACATGTCAAACTGCAGAGCCATAGGTATTCGTCGAGTCTTTTTGACAGTTGCATTTACACACTGCCCACTAATCCACTTCCCTGCAGAGATATCTAACATCCCAAACCCCTGAGCAGCTTCAAAACAGGTGCCATTTAAAATATCCTGTCACATAAATTGCTCCTTTTCCCCCCACAAACAGAACCAGACCAAGAGAAGCAACAGTCCATCCTAGACCAGCGACAGGTTATTTATTATATGTATTACCGTAGCATCTAGGAACCCTAGTCACAGCTCAAGACACCATTGTGCTAGGCACTGGATGAGTGCAGAACCAAGGGAGACCTGTCACAATCTAAAATGTAAGACAACAGCTGGACAGAAGGGGTTCGTCTACACTGGCCCCTTTTCCGGAAGGGGCATGTTAATTTCAGCTATCGTAGTAGGGAAATCCGCGGGGGATTTAAATATCCCCCGCGGCATTTAAATAAAAATGTCTGCTGCTTTTTTCCGGCTTTTAGAAAAGCCGGAAAAGAGCGTCTACACTGGCCCCGATCCTCCGGAAAAAGCGCCCTTTTCCGGAGGCTCTTATTCCTACTTCAAAGCCGGAAAAAGCCTTCTAAAAGCCGGAAAAAAGCGGCGGACATTTTTATTTAAATGCCGCGGGGGATATTTAAATCCCCCGCGGATTTCCCTACTACGATAGCTGAAATTAACATGCCCCTTCCGGAAAAGGGGCCAGTGTAGACGTAGCCAGGCAGATGGGGGAAGCTCAAGTTAATATTGGTCAGCGTAATAGGCAGTGGTCTCAGAGCATCAGCAGCTTAACGAATGCACAGGTGCTGGAACGAGGGGCATGGGGGCTGCTGCAGCATCCCAGACTTGAAGTGGTTTCCATCATACGCAGGGTTTACGGTTTGGTTCAGTGGCTCTCAGCACCCCCATTGTACAAGTTGTTCCAGCTCCCCTGAACAAAGTGTCTTGTGTTGCAGCAAAGATGAGTTTTAAGGAGGGATCTGAAGTGGGATAAGGTAGCTCTTCAGATGTTTATAGGAAATGCTTCTCTGATGGGATCTCCAGAGTTCAGCATGGGGCTTTGGGACCACTGTGCCCCCCTTTTAACTAGGAAGTTGCCTGCCCCTCCCTCCACTTTGATAGAGGCAGCAGCGGGGTGTGTGTGTGTGGCGGGGATCGGGGAGGGGGAGCAAGTGGAACTGCAGAGGTGGTGCTGGAGGGAACCAGCTTTTTAGCTGGCTCCTCCCTCTCTCCCCAGCGCTGGCTCCCATTCCCCAAGGGCAGCAAGGCAGAGGGAAGCGAGTAGTCTAGTACTTGACTACTGGCTTACATCCCTACTCCTAAGAAGATGGGGGCTTGGGGGGAGGGGGAGAAGTGAGGTGCTTGTTTGAAAATGTAACAAGTGAGCAATGGAGGCCGACGCCATAGGCCAACTGGACACAGCCATCAACAGGTCATAGTGAATGTGACAGGACAGCTAAGGTGGAGATGGGCCACAAATGGTCTTCAAAGACTCCCAGTGAGCAGAGGGCAGCCCCTGTCTGTGGAGGGGCTCAGTGTGGAGCTGGGACCCCTTGTGGTCAGGGACTGATGCCTGTGCAGCCTGTGTTCACCTGGGCTGCTGCAGACAGGGGCTGCTGGACCTGGTGCGAGCCGGGACTGAGCAAGCCTACCTCCGTCCCAGCTCGTGCCGGGTCAGGGAGCTACCCCCGCTGCGGCTCTGCATTTTAAATGTAGTAATAGCCACCCGGCTATTTAAAATACAGAGCCACACGCGGGGGTAGCCGGGACTGATTTGGTCTTGCTCAGTCCCGGCTTACGCTGAGTTTGGGGTCTAACCCCCACCGTGGCTCTGCAGTTGAAATGTAGTAGGAGCCAGGCTGCCTGCGCACCCTGCTCCTACTACATTTAAACTGCAGAGCCACAGTGGGGATAGTTCCTGGACCCGGCAGGAGCTGGGACAGAGTGCCTCCCCTTATCAACTAATTGTGTAGTTGATACAAATTGTTATCCACCTCTTAACATCCTGTGTGTGTGTATATGAAATGAAATTTGTTTACTAGCTTAATTGATTTTTAGTTATAAAAAGAATGAAAAAACAAGTAACAATTATTCTTATTTTTAGTATTGACATGTTAAAGTCCCCGGATAAGAAAGAAGATCCAGAGATTATTTTGGAAGACAGCGACCTTGTAACTCTTCGGTATGTTGGGTTTTGGTATCCTTATGAGCTAGATAAGATCAGTTATTCAATTGCTGTAGTACATAAAGTGTATGTTTTTCAGGCAATATTGCAACTGCTGGGCAGTTTCTAGTAATACATTAAAGATCTGGAAACTATCTTAGGGGAGCATAAGTTGCACCAACCCACTACTTTATGGTCTTTTTTTTTTTAATGGGCTTTCAAGAATTTTGGAACAAAAAGAGAAATTTTGTGTGTGTGCCATCTTCAGTGGAGGATCTGATTTAAATAAAGATGGTCAGTTATAATACACAAGATTTTGATATGGCTCTAACACCAGATGGTTTTGGACTGACTTATAGAGAGTAAGAGAGTATAAGGCCAGAAGGGACCACCAAATTATTTAGACTAACCTCCTGCACGTCACAGGCCTCTGCTCCACCCAGTTCTCTCTCACTAACCCTAACAGCCATAGTCCGAAATAGTATGGCCGTTAGGTGAATGAATTGTGTGACACAGACAGAGCGCAGGCGGGACTGAGATGCGACAATGCCTGAGGCGAGGACATGTGGTGAGACATTCCCACGTGACCCTGGCAAGAGAGCCACTTCCTATGCTAAAGAGAGGGGCAAAAACCCTCAAGTTCTTAAGCCTGGGCACGTGAACAAGAACCCGCCACTACTGATGCACCAAAGAGAGAAAATCCTCAGTACACTGGTGGCTTATTCCCTTCCTGCCCCTTGCAGGTGACCAGCTGATGCCCTGAAGCATGAGATTTTTAGGAATAGCTGGCATGAAACAGAAAGGACCCTCAGAGAACAGGAAGCTAAAATGAAGTGTAAAATGGACCAGACACAAAGTTAGAAGAGAGGTTGTCCCAAAGAGTGTGAGGTGGCATGCTAGTCCCTGGTGATGGGTGGTTATATTGCTGTGTCCAAAGAAGCTACCCTCCAGATTTTAATGAGATCACAACACTGAGCCATAAATTGCTAAAATAACTAAAGTGTTAGTGACAAACCCAGCTTTTTAAATCTTGGTTAAATTATCCCACTCTTGGCTAATATAAGCCTTGATTCATTGGCAGTACTTGACATTCTGTTTACCTTGTATAGAAAAAGAAAATGTGATTTATAGATAGAATTAGTGTGGAGGGGTTGCTATTGAAATAACACATCTGGAAAAGCCTGCAGGTAAATAGATATGCACGTGTAACACAAATTGTTAATATTTAACTGTATGAATACATACATTTAATATTGTTATGGGTTGAGTTAAACCCTCCTTGAGATTGGATATGAACACACCCTTTAATTAACACAGTTGAAAGAATTAGTTAATTGTGAGTCCATTATGTAAAACAAAAGGAGGTTATAAACCTACCCAGGAACTCTGGACTGACTGGACAAAGGAATTTTACTGTGAGGTGTCTGAGTGAAGGCATAAGACACATATCTGAGGAGTCCCTGAGGGGCAGAGGTTAAAAACAAGAAAGTTAGCCAGCAGCCTGTAACACAGTGTGGCGTAGAAAAAGCTAGTGAGAGCTTTGGGGTCTGGTGTTGAGTCTGCTGTAGGCTAAGAAACTGCTCCATTTGTTCTTGGATCCTTCTGAGTTCAGAGACCCACGGTTTCATACATGTGTGGGAAATAAACAGGATTGCATCAAAGAAATACCCCCCATGTTCTATCACTTTTTTCTTTCAATGGAACATCGCAGGGTTCCAGTATTTTATGTGGATCAAAAAGGGGCAATGGTGTTATGCCATACCTGAGATTTGTAGTTTCTTCTAGGAAGGGATTTACAGTATGCTTTGAAAGGAATTTCCTTATCCTTTTTAATTTTACACTTGACTTTATAGTGTTGTTTAAACTAGACTGAATAGAAGTAGTTTGGATTTCAGAGACAGAGACAGAGACAGAGACAGAGACAGAGACAGAGACAGAGACAGAGACAGAGACAGAGACAGAGACAGAGACAGAGACAGAGACAGAGACAGAGACAGAGACAGAGACAGAGACAGAGACAGAGACTGACTGACTCTTGCCTTGTAATTAGGGCACCCATTCGTCCCTCGGCTCCAGTCATTCTTTCATGATTTATCCACAGTGGAACAATTTCAACAGGAGATAATAAGCACCTCTGCATCAGAATACTTCATAGCTCAGTGGCAAGGCATCTTAAGAGATGGGACATCCCTGTTCAAATATATTATGTTCCTCTGGCAGAGGGGTGGAAATTTGAACCTGGGTCTTTTGCATCCCAAGTGAATGTTTTAATCACTGGCCTAAAAGTTATAGGGTGAGCACAACTTCTTCTTCCTTTCAGCTGTTTTGTGTGGAATGAGGAAGGTGCCTAATTGAGTCACTGGCTCAGGAAACAGCTCCGGCATCTAAATTGCCTGACTCCCAAGTGATCCACAAATGGGAAGCCACTGCCCGGAGAAGTAGGCATCTCCATAGTCATAGAAATTTAGGTGCCTGTGTCCATGAGGCTTAGCGCACACTCCTGTTGTTAGCATCACTCTTCAGCTAGCTTCAATGGCTCTGGGCCTAGCATGCTGGCTTTTGTGAATTTCATTTGAAGGCACCTCTCTCTCTCCCCAAGTGCTCTTCTGATTTTCCAGGTGTCTGAAAACTAGGCACCATGATACTCTGCGTTGCAACTGGTAAACATTTTAAATGGGATTTTACATTTCTAGTCAAACAGGTGGTCAACTGGTCAGTTGACATTATTCAGCTGATCAGCTTGCCAAGCCTCATCTCCCTATAAGTGTTGAGTCTATTCCATTTTTTAAACCAGCATTGCAGTCTGATGTTATTTTAAACATCTGTCTAGTTGCACTAAACAGCAGGTTTTATGATGCCATTCTGCCTTGTGTCTCTCTCCTTGCCCCCTGCCCTTATCAAGAATTAGAAAGAAGGCCCTGGAGAGGCGAGAAGAAACCATAATTGTAGATCGTGCTTGCAGACAAGAAACATTTACTTACGAGATGGTAAGATTTCCCTCCCCCACCCCCTCTGCCTCTCAGGTTCTCAAGGCAATCAAACCCTGCCAAGCAAACAGCTCTCAAGAGCTTCCTTCGCTTGTGTGTGGTTGATTTGTTGGTGAAGCTAAGTATATCATTCACATTGTTGTATTATGAGTATGCAGTCAATGATTAAGATGACAGGTAGCCCACAATGCAACACGTTTGGGGCAGGAACTATCTCTCACTGTGTTAGTACAGCCCCTGACACAGTGGAGTTACAATTTTGGCTGTGGCTTCTAAGCATTGACATAATATTACTTTTAATAATAATATGGTTACTGTTTTCTATAGGAGCCCCAATATGCTGGGTGCTGTACAAACATCGGACGAAGGCATAGGCATTATAGGCAATGCTGCAAGCTCAGGAGTCGTAGAATAGGAGCCCCAATATGCTGGGTGCTGTACAAACATCGGATGAAGGCATAGGCATTATAGGGGGGGGTGAAATTCTTGAATTTCCAAATCCTGGAAGCAATTGACTGTGGTGTTTTTCTTGCAAACATTTAGGAATTACCCCATGTGGCCCTACTGCACTTACATGCACATACCACCACCACCACCACCGCCTCCCTTTGCCTTATCCTGTGTGTGTGTTTAATGCTGTTCAGCGTACATAAGAAACAAATAACAAATTGGAGGTAATGAGTTGATACAGATATTTCCTAGAAAAAAAGCTACTCAGCAGTCTTGTGATCCAAGCTCTTTAAAAAGACACGTGCACAGCAATTGATGCTCTAATACTGCCATATCTGTAGTTTCAATAGAATTTATGGATGTAAGTAAAATGTACTAGACAGTCTGAGTTTTGTTTATATTAGTAAAACAGTGATGGAATCCAGTTAGCTCATACTTTAAGGAGTAGCATTTATCTCTGCACAGGGCTACAGCAACAGCAAGCATCTCTGCTATTAAAACTAAAGAGGACTTGGGGCTTTCAGCCAGTTGGGACAACAATAGGAGATTGTTTGTTAGGGAAGGCAGAAAATTATTCTGTTATTCTGTTTGATAGCTGGGAGCTCATCTTAAGGAAAGAGCATAGCATAAAACTTTCAACTCAAATCCAGAACGTGCTAGTTTGTCCTATTGGAGGTAGTGCCTGAGGAACGAAAGAAGTCGTGCTGAGTTTTTGACTTTTTGATATTCAGATAAAGAGGCATTAAGTCATGTACATCATTAATGAGAGTCTCTTGTTTTTACAAACTACTCCCATGTTTAGTTTCTCGAACATTGTACAATTACCAAGAGAATGCACTTGACATATGTGTTAACATTTTATCTTCCTAGGAGTCTCATGCAATTGGAAAGAGGCCGAAAGATCCAGCAGATCTAATTGAGGAAGGAGAGCTTCTCCTAACTCTGAACATCTTCTATCCTGTCATATTTCAGAAGGTTGGTATTAAATTCTCTGGGTCAGATTCTGATATATTTTCCCACCTTAAAATAGCACCTCACTCCACAGTCTCATTTGGTGTCAAAACTGAGAATTCTTAATCTTCAATTAGCTGGTAGATGCTACCACAGTTTATCTAAATTTGGGGTGTACTGTGCTAGTTACCATATAAACATACCATAAATCACACACACAGGCTGCCAGAAATTGGCTTTCTGTGATTTGAGGTGGCAGTTGTAAAAGTTGCAGTCTTTTCTTAAAGATTTAGTAGTAACTTCATAGTTATACTGCAGATGTAAATGCTACACGTTCTGAAGTGTACTGTCTGTAGGGCTGACCCAACAATTGTACTACAGTTACTTGCTACTGTGAAAAGCTCAAAGTCTGCACTACAAATTATTTCCCTTGCTCTAAAAACTGGCTGCATCTTTACAGGAGCTGGAGAAAGCTGATGTCACCCTTTTTACGGGGACGAGTTTGACCTTGTGCGGCTGCTGTTAATGACCCAGTTAGTCATTCTGTAGAGGTATTAGTAGTAAAGGCCTTCTAGCCTTGTTGTTAATTGAAGGTTGTTCACTCTTTCTTTTGTAGCATAAAGATCACAAACCTTATCAGACAGTTCTTGTGTTGGGCTGTCAAAAACTCACTGAGCTCAGAGACTCCATTTCCTGTGTCAGCGATCTTCAGATCGGTGGTGAATTCAGCAGCCACCCTGACCACGCACCAGAGCACATTAGCAAGGTACAGTCATCTAAACTAAAGCAGATGAGTGAGTGTGAGTGTGTGTGTACATGTGTGTGCTTGTTTTCTCCCCCTCTCCCTCACCCCTAGTGTGTGTGTGTGTGTGTGTGTGTGTGTGTGTATACACGTGTGTGCTTGTTTTCTCCCCCTCCCCCCCCTCACACACTGAAATGTAATGGTACAGTTGGATTACATTATCCTAGGAGAATCCAGCTATCATGGTACGAGGTCAAGTTTACTAGCGAGATACATATGTAATCTGAGAGAGATTTACTGACCTTTACAGAAGGATTTCTGAGATGCATGGAGAGTAGGGATAACTTTCAGGAAAAAAAAGTCTAACTATTCTTAGTAATTAAAAATAGAACACACTGCATTTATTGTGATTTATTAAAATTAAACTCAGTGTACACAAAGTATACATATCTGTTGAATCTTATCTATCTGCTTAATTACACACGCAACATGCAGGTAAAACATTCCTAAAAGCACATCAGATTCATTTAAAGAGCTAAATCTTAAAATGTTTCCATAGAGAGTCTGGCTAACATCCCATAGCAGCCTTCTTATTTCTGTACAGAAATTTACCTTTGTAATTGGGGAGGGGGAGGAGTCTGAGAACAAACCCATCAATGCTTGAAGCTTTGAATATGGATAAAAGACTACTTTTCTCAGTCCCCACGCAACTGATTACTTTTTTGGAGAAGATGGGGGTTATCTTTTAAATCCAGGCTCAACTTCCATGGTCTAGACTTTAGTAGTTTAGCACCATCGGTGCTCTGGAGTCTCTGTGGGTGCTCTGGGGCTGGGGCGCTCATGAGGAAGAGCCTGGCCCTGCACTCAACAATTCTTTCCCCACCCACTCCAGCTCCGGGAGGGAGAGGGAAGAGCAAGGATGGGGGACACTTGGAGGAAGAGGCAAGGTGGCTGTGGAGTGCCAGGGACTGGGACTGCAGCCTCATGGCTGGCAGTGGGGCCCAAGAGCACAGCCCAGTGACCACAGGGCTCGGTGTGCTCCTTCAGGGCTGCGCTTCTGGCCCTCAGCCACAGTGCTCCATTGCCACCCTGCTTCTTCCCCTGCACGCCTCTCCCCCAGTCTCCGCTCATCAACCCTGGCCCCTCTGCTGCCGCCAGCAGAATCAGAGTGGTCGGCATTGAGCTCACTTGGTCCAGCAAGATTCCCTGGTTTAGAACCAGTCAGGCCCACAGGGTGCCGGACCAGAGAGGTGCAACCTGGCATCTATAATTTCGCTTTGGGATGCTCCTAGGGGAAATTGGCATCTGACTGACTTATACGTTTGGTTCTTGCTGTTCCTTTATATAAACATCTATGTATAGAGAGACCTTCTGCAGGCTCTTCACTAACTTTCAGCTGTGTATTTGTGAGGTTAATCTATCTACTTTGGTCTACCTTTCTGTTATTTTAAATTCCCAAGCCTATGAAAAAAAAAAAAAAGCTTTATGGCGTGACTGCATTTTCTATACATATACATCCTACTTGTTGCTCATTTTAGCCTGGCCACAAGTACAGTTTTCAATGTATTGTATAGCTCAGCTGATTGACAAAACGACACATGGATATTTGCCTGATCCGTTTTTTTTGTGTGTGTTGTATGAATAGTGGATACTCATTGACTAGCTTCAGTAATTTCTACTGATGTGCAATTCTGTGAGCCCTGTTAATGTTGATATGAATGGCACAAGACACTAATTATCCTCTGTGAGGAAACTGTGTGATACAAATGGCCAGTCTGTGTGACAAATTATGTAATTAAGAGGGCATTTTCTGGGATGCTGGAACTCTCCAGAGCACCCCAAAAGGGTATGATTTGACTTTCTGAAACCGCATTTATGTCTGTCTTAGAAATGTGAGTTATGTGTTTTGTTCCAGGAATGCAATAGAGTTAGTGACTTGTCATCTTGAGGAACAGCAGGTCTTGTGGCACAGCCTGCTCTGACCTTGCCAGTTTTCAGCACTTGGGAGCAGAGCTAAACTCTGTAAACTATGTGATGGATATTAGAATGGGGAAATAAGTACAGATAATAGAGTAAATATATCCGCATGATTAGTTTGCTGTCAACAGAACGTCTCTGCCCTAAATTGAAGTTCTGTATTGTTTGCAATATCACACATTGTAGTGAGTGACTGGTTACATTGTGACATCAACATTTAAGCTGAACTCACCTATGAAACAAATAGGGGAGGTCTAGCTGTAGTATTCTGTCCATTCTTAAGAGAACATAATGTATATATATAAAGTGCACCAGAAACAGGCTTCATTTTGCAAGATTTCTGTTGTTTTTTAGTACTAACATTTTTTTCTCTCTTTCTCTCTCTCTCTCTCTCTCTCCAAGGATCTCTACAAATCTGCGTACTTTTATTTTGAAGGTGTTTTTTACAATGATAAAAGACACTCGGAGTGCAGAGATCTGAGCAGGTATAGTATTCCCAATCTCAGTGGACAGAGACTCTTAGGGCTCTAGGAACAGGAACTTTTAATACTTGTGTGCGGCTGAAATCATGACCCCCTATTTAGTACATTTTAAAGTGTATCCTCCTTGCCTGCCCTGTTTTTTTACACTTACATTTTCCTTTTCTTGGAAAAAATCCTAATTTTTCTTCCTCTGTAACCATTCCTAGCACAGAAACTGATTTTCCTGAAGATCTAAAACTGCTTCCTCTGTATGAGCTGGACCCATTTTTATTTATTGCCAGCTGCAGTTTTGCCTAGGCTAGACTTAAAAATGCCCTGACTATTTACAAAGGGCTTGTCTACATGGGGGGAATTAAATTAAAAACGTGCTATTTTTGTGAAGCCAGCAATATCTAGTCTTTTCCATTACTGAGTATACATTGAACACCTTTTTATAGGAATGCCTCCTGGAGTTGGCAGAGAGAAGTTGGCAGATTTTCACTGAGAGAGGAAATGGGTCAGGCTGGGTTAGAAGGTGTCTTTGAGACAAGTTTCAAATTGTGGTCCAGTTCTGAAAACATCCAGCACTAAACCATCAATACGTATTTATGCCAAGGACCAGTGTTCCCTGTAAACTCTGACGCCGGAAAATACGGTAGTCTTTTCCATTACTGAGTATACACTTGTGCAATCACTCAGGAGATTTAAATGCCACCCAGCATTAGCAGAGCACCCACAGCTAGGTATTTTTTTATTTCTACTGGTGGTGTGCATTCATACATGCCTCACTGCATATAAAAATTTATTCTGCAGATGGAAAAAATCCGCACTCTAATGGAAAAGATTAGAGGGGAATATTGCCAAAGACATATGGCCTTTGTCAGGAGCTGAGCTGTTTATTATGGTGGGTGGTAGAAAACACCCTGAGAGCTGGATTTTGGTGCCACAGATTTGCAGTACGATGTTGAGCAAGATGTATAATCTCTGTGCCTCACTTCTCTGCTCTCAAAATGAGGATGATTGTATTTTCTTGGTTCAGAGAAGTGTTGTGAATAAGTGCTATTTGTGGTAGCATAGCTCCTCATAACAAGGAACATATTCTAGGTTGGGAAACCCAGTAAATAAATGTGAGCTAAGGTCAGAAATAATGGTCCAAAAGGTGATGGAGACTTGGAACGCTATAAAACATATGATTTCCATGCACATCCAGAAAGTTCTTCACTTGTACTTGGGCAGTCTCAAGGTACAGTGTGTAATGGCAAAAACATGGTGTTCAGTAAAGCCCTATGCACTAATGTAAGAAACGTTGCTAATATTTTTTCTAATCAGTGCCTTGATGAAGAGTTTGGCACACCTGAAATGCAAGGTGTGCTGCTAACTTTCATCTAGTTTAAGCTAGCCTCACTTATCGTTTATCCATGAAAATTTCAGAACCGTTATTGAGTGGGCAGAATCTCATGACCGAGGCTATGAGAACCTTCAGACTGCTAAAATGGAAGACTACACATTTAATGACTTGTCCATCAAAGTTGGTTTTCCATACCTCTTCTGTCACCAAGGAGATTGTGAGCATATAATTATCATCACAGACATAAGGTAAAATTATTACCATTTGGGAGTACTCATGCTGTTACTATAAGTGCTTTGCTTTCTTACAAAGCCTGATGTCAGAGAGATTAATAAACACTAGCTGAAATAGAACAAAGTGAATAGTATAATAGTGTAATTTTTATGCAGAATTGCATATTAAAAAGGTTTTATTCTGTGTGCACCTAACCCTTTGCAGCAAGAAAGGAGCTCATCTTGCACAGTTTGAATCTCTGTTGTCTGGGGCTCTCTGGTCCAGCAACATCTGTGGGCTTGATTAGAGAGCCCCAGCGCAGAGGTTCCTGGCGAATGGGAGCAGAGCCAGCTGGCTGGGCAGCGGAGCCTACAGGGCACCAGAGCCCACAGCTGGTGGGACTGGGAAGCCAGGGGGCTGCAAGTGCCTGCTGGGGAGGTGGGTGCGCACAAGCATTGCTGCAGCCGAGGGACTGGGGGCAGCAGTGGCATGTGGCTGGGGAGAGGAGCCCAGTAGAGAGGCTGGAGTCCCCCTTCCCAGACCTCCCCTGGTCCAGCAAACTCCCTTGTCCAGGACTGGTCAAGTCATGAGGGTTCCAGTCCAGGGCGCATTTTCACCCTTGTACCTTTTGTTAACAGCCTGCTCCTGCAAGCTGCTGGGTGTCTGCCATGAGTTGGTGAGAATCCATGATATGATATGTGATTACTGTTCATGTCTTAAGATTTGTGTCCATGTTCCATCATGCTAAAAGTGACTTTTCCTGTTCTGCACTGCCCTCTAAATTGTGGTCAGCATTGTCCTCTAACCTGACTGCCCAGGATGGAGTTTAGACACAATAAAATGAGGCAGTATAGCCAAGCCCTTATTCTGTCCTTCTCTGTGTAAGGCTTGTTCATCAGGATGACTGTCTGGATAGGACACTGTATCCCTTGCTAATCAAGAAGCATTGGTTGTGGACCAGGAAATGCTTTGTGTGCAAAATGTATACAGCCAGGTAAGTGACCCATGCTATTTGGAAAAACTTAAACATTGAATAGTCTAGCAGCACCTTAAAGACTAACAAAACATGTAGATTGTATCACAAGCTTTTGTGGGCACAGCCCACTTTGGTTAGCCTGGTTTCTTCATGCATCTGTGACTTCTTCTGATTACAGAAATCTTTCGAGGTGTTTGATTAAAAAAACCAAAAAACCCTCCTCTCTCCTTTTACTCCAGGTGTCTGTGTAGAATTAATTCAAATTATTACTGGCAAGGCACAGCACATTTTTCTTCAAACAAAAATCCTCAATTACTAAGTCCCGTTTTCTGAAGACTGTCCCTGTCGTGCCCATCCTATAGACTACTGAACGACAGAGATATCTCTTGTAAGACAACCGAAAGAGTGGAAAAATGGAAAGTTAACCCTCTCTATAACTCTCTTACTTTTGATACATAGATCTGGGGTCTGTGCTCATATTTTATTTATTTTAGGGTTTTCAATAGCATTTATTGGCTTGGTAAATTTTAATGATAGAGCAAAATCAGAGTGCCTTCTCCAGTCCTTGTGTTGTATCTGTTTAAAAAACAGTGTCTGCATTGAAATGTAAATAGTAGAGAGTGGGGGGGAGGGGGACAAAGCAAAATAGTAAAATCAGGTCATTTCAGTGCAATCATTTTAAAGGTTAAAAACATAAAAGATTAGCATCTCTTCTCTCAACTGTTTAGTGGGTCATCACACTCTCCACCCCTCTAATTGTCTCTTGAGGCTCTGTACTGTTTAGTGGGTCATCACACTCTCCACCCCTCTTATTGTCTCTTGAGGCAAAAAATTACATCCTGTGGCCACTTGTGCAGTCACAGGGAGCTGTAAGCAAACCCTCTGTCCCCTGAAATACTTTACATCCCATTCGTCTGGGCTTAGGAAAAGCCTATCTGCAGATGCAGTAAAAAAATCTCTGTATCGGGAAAATAAACCAGACCCAAAAACTAGACATGACACCCTGGTATTTGGAGATTTGGCCTCTTGCTCTAAGTGATGGTTCATGTTCCTTATTCCAGTCAGGTACATGGACTGTGCTCCTTGACTGTCAGTACTTTGCTGCGGGATCACTGGGATAATTGAACAGAATGCTGTCGGGATAGTTCATCTTGGCATTCTTAGCAAGTCCCCTGGCTGCCATCAGAAATGTCCATAATCTACCTAAGGTGTCGGACCATAAGGGGAGGTGGAGCCAACGGGTCAGTGTCGGGGGGACGACAGGGTGGGCAATGCTTTACCAGAGGTGATGCGCTCTAACTGCATTAAAGTAAAACCAGGATTAAGCACTAAGATTAAGTGGGGAGATGCTGAGCCATGACTGACCAGAGCAGCTTTGGCTGGATATCCTGCATGTTCTGATCTGTGTTGGATAGCATCCTCAGTCATTTTTTTTAAATGAGTAGCTAAAGTCTTGTCTACAATGCATAGCTACACTGGTGTAAATATTTGCCTTTGTTCACTAGAGCAAACCCCATAACATGGATGTGCTGCACTGGTGCCGATGGTGACTGGAATCAGTAGAGTTTAACCTGTTTGCTTCTCGTTTCTTGCATTAGTGAAGCCATCTACTCAGTGTTTATAGGACATTCATACGGTCCCTCAGTTCATTGGGTGCAGGTGTCTTGATCTGTGTCACCTTCCTAAGTGCTATCGTATAATTATTTACTTGCACATTTACCATTCTTCATCTTGACTGCTGTATTGATAACCATCACCTCTACTGAGATGTTCTGTGCTGTGATTTAGCTCTAATTTACCCCAAATGGCTTCTAAGAGCCCAGTAAGCAGTGGAAGTGCTGGTAATGCTTTTAGACATTATTGACTACCGTGGTCCATCAAATTCTCTTTATAAATCAGCACTCTTCCTATTTAACCCAGTTTCTTCTGCCTCATTTAAGCCTATGATTTTAAAGGAAAATATAACTTTGTGTGACCAGACTGCCTCTCAAATACATTAACATACTTAAAACTGCCAGTCTTCTACTAATAGCAAGTAAGAGAACTTGGAACAGGTTAAAATCTCAATTCTAATGACTGAGAAGAAAAGCCACTAGACTTTGCATGGTAGTGTTCAGTGTCAATCACAATTATCTCAACCTCCCTTTTTAACAAAGTGTTTCCTCATTCAGTTGGGTCCTAATTCTCTGATCTAATCTTGTTATTGCTCAAGCAGTTTACTTGACAATAGCTTTCCAGCTGATGCAAGCTCCCCTCCCGCCTTTCTCCAGGCAAATAGTTTTAATTTGTATTACTTAAGTTTCCAGGCAATTATTAGATGCTTCATATTCTAATTTGAGTACCCAGAAGTTTGCTGAAAGCTTCACACAAGTGGGGACACACTTCCTGCTAGATGCTGCTACAAGCTTGTGAATGTGATTACAAGAATGTGGTTCTTGGCAGACAGGTTTGGGAAGGAGCTGCCTGTGCAGGGAGATGGAGAAAGATGACAAGGATAAGACTAACCACAGTGGGTTACTGTATCTTTGATATTTCAAGCAGACACAGGTGTTAAATGTAACCAAGAATAAGATTTTAATGGTGGGCTTTTTGTGTCCTTCTTACATCAAATATGCCAGTGTAAAGTGAAACACCTGTGTGTTAAAACTTGCAGGTGGGTGACCAATGAGGACAGCCTTGCTCCAGAGGACCCCTGTTTCTTCTGTGATGTTTGTTTTCGAATGCTCCATTATGATGCAGAAGGCAATAAACTGGGAGAATTCCTTGCTTATCCTTATGTTGACCCAGGGACTTTCAACTAACGCTTCAACAAGAATGAATGTAGTGAACTGGATCTGTGGATCTGCTGGTGTGGCAGCTGGTTGGTTCTGGACAGCTGTAGTCTGAAAGACTGCTGGGGTTTGGGTTATGCTATCGTTACTTTGTTCAGAGCGGGTTGTTGGTAAACCAGAAAGAGAGCATTTATTTTTACACTGGATTAGCGTGCAGAAAATACCGCCAGACACTAATTTTATTAAATTTTCATAGTTAAAATGAAAACAGTACTTTTTATACAAGTGCCTCAGCACATTATATGTGGGACTATAGACTTCTAGGCAGAGAGACTGACACTTTTATAAAGGGTCCTGAACAAAAGAAATCTGAACTTTAAAAGATGAGCAACTTTGGCTTCCGTTAATTTCAAAGGATGCTCCATTTGACTTGTAGGCACCCTGATTTGAAAATTTGTGTCGCAGTCCCCTCTGAACAAGGTCAAATGACTTTCATTATCTCTGGTTTGGATGACTGCCATCAGTCAAGAGGAAAGAATACTGCCTATGAAACCAGTCACAGAGTGCTAATGTATTTCTAGGTCTTTTGCACCAAACAATGGCTACTTGTTTACTTCCACACATTTTCCTTTCTTCTTTCTCTCTGTGAGGGAATAGCCATTTGTGAAGGTTGCATTTTAGCAATGCACAGTGTCACACATTTCAAATTAATTTTACATTTATTTCAATTCCTATGCTTGAGTTCATCTACTCAGTTGTTATTTAAAGTTCATAATGAGCATTATTGGTTGCAAGTGCATCTTTGCTATTTTAATATGCTTGACTTCTCTTTATTTCAAACTGAATAAAGACCAAATTAAAATGTGACCTGTCAGATGAGTTTGTTCTGCTCATGCAATATTATACAGGTAAGAGTACCTGATGTGTGTTTAAAATATATTTCAATTTTCCTGGGAGCTTAGAGGTAGGATTTTTGTTTTTAAGTAATCTGAAATTCTGCGAAGTTGAACAGAGCAGACCTTTGCTGTTTAGTAAAAGTAACAGCATGAATTGCTTTTCTCACATTAATGTGAAGAAGTCAATCAGCTTAGAAAAAATCGTCTTTGCTTGGCATGGACTTTCCTTCACCGCAAGTATATATGAAAAGATTCTATCTATGTCAGAATTGATTCTATGATGTTCAGATCTTTATAAGCCACAATTCCACCAACACTTACACACGTGCCTGACTTCACTATTGTGAGTAGTTTTGCTGTCTTAAGAAATTAAGAACTTGTGTAAGTGTTGGCAACGGACCAGGGCCACCCTGTGTCCATCACTATAGTATCTGAATAGTATCCTGAAGTACATTAAATATTCGTATCCATCCGTGGTTTCCTCTCCGGTGTGAGGAATTATGTGAGGTTTATTTTTATTTTACTTCATAGCAGTTATGCTCTGTCCTTCAAAAAGAAGGTCGAAGAAGCGCACCTTCAACTTGGGAGGGACAGTAGGGAGATTTGTGATACTTCTTAGTACCTGCTAAGTGTGAGTGTATCATAGAATCATAGCAGACTAGGACTGGAAGGGACGAGAGGTCATCGAGTCCTGCCCTCATGGCAGGACCAAATACTGTCTAGACCATCCCTGATAAACATTTATCTAACCTACTCTTAAATATCTCCACAGATGGAGATTCCGCAACCTCCCTGGGCAATTTATTCCAGTGTTTGACTACCTTGACAGTTCAGAACTTTTTCCTAATGTCCAACCTAAACCTCCCTTGCTGCAGTTTAAGCCCATTGCTTCTTGTTCTATCCCCAGATGCCAAGATGAACAAGTTTTCTCCCTCCTCCTTATGACACCCTTTTAGATACCTGAAATATCTGTGCATTCGGTGGTGATCAGCCCACCAAACTCAGTCATTATCTTAGACTGGGTGTCCGGGGTCGCCCCTTTGGACCACCCCACTTTATACCGGGGTGCCTTATCTCTGGGGCAATCCCTGAATTTCTCTAGTCCCGCCAGGGAGCCCACTTCTGACAACACCGCGGAAAGGCTGCCTTCCGGGGACCTCACATTATCATTGTCCAATCCCGGCCTAATCCTTGGTTTTAGCAATCACCCCTGGGAGGGGGAAGTGGCGCTCGGGCCCACCCACTCTCCAAGCCCCAGCCCAGGGCCCTAAGACAAGGGATCTGCTCGTCCTTGTCTAGACTGGCAGGGCTGTTGCCCACAACTTGCCAGTCCTTGGGTTCCTATACCTGCCCTGAGCCTCTTCCTTCCTCCATCCCCTCAGTGGTCCCTGTTCTCGGGTCCTGGAGTCTCCTGAGTATCCCCGGCATGTTACCTCATGCCCACGGGGGGTCTCAGCATCCTTCTGCGGACCCCCCCTCCTAGTGGGGGGCCCTCCCTCTTTATTTGCCACCTCCATGTTGCTCCTCCCCTCGGAGTGACATAGGGGTGTGTCACTTCCCGCAGGCACCTGGCCCGCCTCCCTGGGGTCCTCTTTGGGCAGCTGCTGACCCACTACGCTGTGTTGGTCTGGCCATAGCTCAGACGCGGTGCCGGCTCTCTGTCGCTTGCCACAAGAATGCGGGGCCACATTGCCCCATCACACTGGGTAATAGTGGGGAAAAGCCAGTGAAAAGCAAGGCACTGGGTAATAGTGGGGAAAAGCCAGTCAGGTGAAAGCAAGATGATAAACATTTCACCAGTATTCCAGGTCAGCAATTCATCCAATTTTTTTTCCTTAAAGAACTTAATAGAGGCAGAGATATCTAGAATGTGAATGGGTGTGAGTAGAAATCCCACTGAGGTATGCATGCTCTTGAGCCTACCCCAGGCTCTATCTTTTCACAGAAGGCCTGATTTGTACTTCTATATTAGGTCTTCCAGAAATCACCTTTTAGAGTACAAGTTTTATTGCAACTTTCATGTTTCCTTCACTGACACTTCACCAAACTCCTCCTCTTTGGCTGCCTTCTATTAACATATGGGTTTACAATCCTCTTTAGCACTGCAACTGTGATTAGACAGACAGCTGGTGTAATTTCTAAAGCTACAGTTTTGTGTTGTGATAGTTTATCCAGCTGAATTCTAAAAGACCATTCAATACAGGTTTTCTTACTAGAAAGAGTAAAAGAAATATTCTGAGATGAGGCCAAAAACTTAAGCTTGCTCTGTAGTTTTACAATAGTTCTTTATTATCCTGTTTGCTCTCAATACCCCAAGCCATTTACCACTTCACCACCTTCTGCAAGGCAAAGTCTCCAACTTGTGTTAAAATGAGTGGTTTATATAGAGTTTAAAAAAACAATCAAAATTTGCTAGATCCAGTCTTCCATTTATCGAATAATGCTAAGAGATGCAAGGTAGAGCTCTGTGAGAATTTGCTGTATGTATTTTCCTGCAGGGGAGATGGGGACAGAACACAACATGCAACATAAGTAGCATTCCTATCACATGCCAAATGAAGTGACTTGAATGCCACATTGAATAAAAAGATCACAAATTATATTTTGAAAAAACCCTTAATTCCTTGAGTCCCAGGAGCTGTCATAGGACAGCTGGGGTTGGTTCTGGTTTGGTATTTTCTTCTGAACGAGTCCTTGGAGTCAAACCCAGTAATGGACCCAGCTGTCCATGTATAATTAAATTTCTAAGATACCAGCTGGGTATTTGTGTTTTGGCTACTTATTTAATGATGTTAGCATTTAAATGATCACAACTTCAAAGTCTGTTTAATACCTCATGAAGATAAATGAGCAAAGATTGTACCTTTTTATTTTCTCTGGCTTAGTTATCCCTCAGAGCAGAGGAATAGTCTGAGATTGAATGAAGCTGACTTGTGCCTGTAGTGGAGACTGCAAGTGTAGAGTTGTGCCTGTAGTATATGCTGCTGTAGCATGGTAGTGTAGACATCTGCTCCAGTGATGGAAGGAGTTATTCCACTGCTGTAGTAAATCCACCCCTCTAAGAGACAGTAACTAGGATGACAGAAGAATTCTTCCATTAATCTAGTGGCACCTGCAGTGGTTGGTTACTGGAGATGTACTGTGAAACTCTTCATAGCCCTGAGTGAAGTAACTAGGTCAGCTTAAATTTTACATGGAATGTTTTTAACTAGTAATACTTGGTTTATGACTATCTATTACATAGAAAAAATGTTACCCGGTTGTCACTAATTGCACTGGACACATTTTCTGCCCCCCTTGCATCTAAGTATTATAGTACGGCTTAGGTTACCTGATTGCACAACATGCAGCAAATTATACATCTAAAGTTGGCCACCAACACATCAACAAGATCTTAGTTTATATTGCTATAGATGGAGCTTGTGACTCTTTTGGAAGACTGTATTATCTGAAAGAAAATAGAAGCAAGCAGTGAAAGCAAAACTCTGCAAAACACCAGCACCACCAGAGCAGGCAAGACATGCAAGGGTCTCTGATCCAAAAGTAATAACCTGGGGGAACGAGAGACTTAGTCAGGGTCACACAGCAAGTCAGCTCAATACCTGTGTATAGAACTCATCTCTGGGTTCCACTCCAATGCCTATTCACTGGACTGCAGTGCTAATTTTTATTTATACACAAAATGTCTTTTTTCTTAAACCTCCACATGATACCAATACCTGTTGCCATGACAGAGGGGTGAAAACTAGGCATTGTCAGGGTGGCATGAATCCAGACATGGCCTCACTCCTACTCCAGTATATAAAATTAGACCAGATTGGGCCTTTTCAAAACAAGTCATCTGCTTTCAAGAATTAGTCACTGCCAAAGCTCTTCCAATATCTACAGTGTGTTGTTTTTCTTCCCATTTATTCAAATAAAATTGGAAAGCTGGTAAGTACATTGCTGATTTAATATGAAATCAGAAACTACATTAGGAATTTTGGGAGATATCTCAGGAAAACCTTGTCCATTAAGAAAATTGTATAGGGATGTTCTTATCCTAAAACTCATGTCCCCTACTGTCCTGCAAGATAGCAATCAAGAGAGTCACCTTTAGACAAGATTTAAGAGACCAAACTGCTAGGAGCTGAAACGAGGGATCCATCAATTTTGCTAGAACTAAATTTAAACTCCACTGTGGAATTGGGCTGTGAAACTGTGAGGATAATCTGTGCAAACCTTCTCAAATCCTATTCCAATCAGATTTCTAAAAAATAGATCTGTTATACATGGGAGGATAGAATGGTTGCCAGGAGGACTGGGACAGAATTAAGAGCTAATTCTTGTTGAGAAAAGATAGTCCAAGGTATTGTGAGCTGGAGGGGGAATTACCTTGCAAAATGGAATAAAGTAGATGTTGAAGGCTTCGTGGTATTCAGCAGAACATCCTGCACTCCCTGAGAGCAATCCGTACCAGGTGAGACTCCTGTACCCAGAGTGACGCAACCACCAGCAGGTTAAGCAGCTCTGTGGCTGTCTCAAAAGCCTTGAGTGTAGAGGCCTCCGGGAAGGGCTCCTGAGTCTGCCATACCAAAAGGTAGAGTGGCCCTTCAGGGAGAGTGGCCCTTCAGCGTTAGGCAGCTCTATGGGGACCAGCACGCGCTGCAAGCTGGCTTAAAAGTTTCTGCCCCCATTGCTGCCTATGATGCTGTCCTTTTTCTATTGGGGTTTGAACCCTGTGCACATGTGACTCTTGACTAACAAGCATCTCAGACACTATGGCAGCTGGCTGTGGGTTGCTCACTGGCACAGACCTGCTACATGAGCAACAGGCCTTGAAGCCCAGAGAAGGAGGGATTAGTCTGGTACCATGCCTGGTTCCCAAGTAAGTAAGTAACTTTAGGGGAAAAAAACCCTCTTAAATTTTTATGTAGACACATACTGCACTAGACTGAAAATTAATACTATAAATATCATGTACACTAAACAAGGGAAGACTTGCAAATACAAGAATTGCAGCTCCAAGGAGGTCAAGAGAAGACGGGCAATCTGCTGGAGTTTGCCTAGGATGTGTCAGTGGAGTTCTGGTGAGTGTCCTATTCTGAAGTTGTGGGGGCGAGGGGGGTGCTATGCTGTGAACTGGTGAGGCAATAGTCGAGCGTGTGTCTGCTGTGACCATCTGTGACTGGAGTTAGTTGCAGGGACTGTTTGACAGTCTTATTTGTTATAAATTTCAATTGCTATTGTTTCATCACAATTAATTTGAGTTTATCTCATGAGTTAATTGCAATGAATCAACATCCCTAATTTTAATGCATATCGATAGAGAATGGACAAGAGGGTGCTGTTTAAATCTCAAATATGATTTTGCATTAGTGATTTTTTTCTCCTTACATACAATGCAGACTAAGCTGTACTGAGACTAAAAGTGTAGCATATCAATCCAACAATACAATATCATATTGCACTGCTCCTGCAATTGAGAAAATTAATTTGAGGGGTCAAATCAGGAAACATAACTGAATGTGAGACTAATTTTATGAGACCAGTACTTCTGGATAAGAAAACCCCAAACACTAATGACCCATCTGTAGCATCTGCGTAACTCAATACATAGCATATGAACATAGTTATGCAGAGCCTTTGATTAGATTCACTTACATTTGAAATGTTAATGCAATTACTATATCCTATTAAAATTGAACACTATAGGCAAATTCTACCCCTACTGGTAAACATTCACAGTTTTGCAAGACTGTTGCACACCAGTGAACTATTTTTACTTTCCAATACTAGAAACAACCTTCTGGTTAAGTACTAATGGAACAACTATATCTACACTTCCCTTTTCTGTTGGCATTTTTGATGACAGGGCACCACCTGCTGCCTTTACACCTACATTTGTCTATCTAGTAGCATTTGGTATTGAAAAAGATGAATGAATACCCGGTAAAACATTGCAATAAGTGAAATAATTGGACAGTATATACAAAGCAAATCCTTGACACCTAAGCATTTTCATCCTCCTATGAATTATGCTATCAGATAATTATTTATACTAGCAGCTGCAATGCTTGAGCTTGGATTCCTAAATTCACCATCCTCTTCTCTGTCAAAGGAATGCTACATTCATTTTCTTAACTACAATCTGAGAAAGATATATCCAAGTTCTGCAGTTTTGAAAATCTCAACTCTTTCTAGGTCTCATCAAATAGGTTTTAAAACAAGCTCAAGGTATGTTAATTTTTGAATTCCATGAGAAAAGGAGGTATTTTACAAGGACACAAAGGGAGTTCAATAGGTGTTTGGTGTTTTGACCCCTTTGTGGCTTTGAAAGTGTTCCTGATAGTTTTTACTTAGTATTTTCAGGAAATTTTAGATCATGTCACAAACTAAATCCAATAGAGTCTTATCAATCTTCTTATCCTTTAGATTTTCAAAATTAGGCCTGGTGTTGGCCATGATACTCCAGGACCATATGAATGCCTGTTAATTTAAGCGATCTAAGCAGAAAAAATGCAGGGTCATTTGCTTATGTATTGGTTCAAATTCTTTAATTTTTAGAAAATGTTCAAGACAATGTTTTCTTATCTATGTGCATCAATAAGTACAATGGAAATATCAGGTCAGTTTTTTTCCTAGTGTGACATCTATAATACCAAAAGCATACCATGGAAGGTCACAGTATTATATATTGGCACAAGTTTGCAAGAACAAAACTAAACTCTTGTTTAAAAAAAATGAGTGATTATATGCACACTTATACCTTAACATTTTAATTCCTATAAAAATGCTGCTTTTAACTCCTACAAAACACAGTGAAAAGACAGTCTGACAAACAGCAGTTTTGAAAACTATGCACAAACAGAGGTCAGTATTTTAGGAATAAGATAGGTTGATGCAAATGAAGCTGTTGGCAGTTTTTAAAAAGTGCTTATACTTTTTCCTGCCATTAACTAGACATTAACATATAGCAGTCAGGTAAAAATATTACTACAGCTCCAACTCCTGTGACATACAAGAATTTTTCAGTTGCCTAAATTTTCTTTTCATATTTGAACTGTGTATAGCTTGTATAATACCAGACAAAGCTATCAGCAAGAATGCTTAAATACTTTTAAAACCAACATTAAAGGGGACTTTTATTCCACAAAATTTTAAACATTAAAATACTATGCTTATAAAATTATTTAAAACTTTCAGCAGTCTACATTTGAAATCCAAAACTTAACAATCCTCTTCTTTTGTACTTAAAAAAATTCCAGTGGTATCATTTATTTTCAGAAGAAGAGTCCTTTGATGTTTTTTCAAGCTCTCTTTCTTCACCAGATGTTCTGGAGAAATAATAAAGAAGAAAGAGGTTAACACTCCAATCACACTTAACACGTGAAGTATCCTATGTGATAAAGTAAGATTAGTAGATCCATAGTGCAGGTCAGACCTCTTTTGTCTGACACCCTCAGGACCTGAGTGGTCCCAAACAGCGGAGTTTGCCAGATGAGCGGAGGTCAAGGCTTCCTACCCGACTACAGGCTTTGCTTCTGGGCACTGCCACACTGTGCCAGGCCTGGTCAGAACTGCGTCTACTACTGCGCCAGCCCCGGCAGGGACTCCACCCCCTCTGCTCCAGCCCTGAATGGGGCTGCACTCCAGGCCTCTAGCGCTACTACCGCCCGCCCTGGCTAGGGCTGTGCTCTCCATCACGCTGACCCAGCTGTGGCTGGGCCTCCCCACTGCCAGCCCAGTCCAGTTTTTGAACCTGGACAACTGGGGCTTGGCTGGACCATGGATGTTGCCAGACCAGAGTGTCCCAGATTTTAGAGGTTCAACCTGTAGTTTGTTACATAAAGTAAAAGCCTCAAAGCTATTCATTCTTCCCGGCAGGTCATGCTCATGTAGTAAATAATCCTCTGTGAACATTTGCTAACTGCTTTATGTTCTCCTGTAAGGTGAATATAAGGCACCACACATTTAATGTAAGTTACTAGTTTAACTTACTATTGTTCCAATGCACTAATTATTGAACATGTACCCAATTTTTTTTTCAATATAGTTTAGTTAAATGGTAAGCATCCCTATTAAAACAAAATAATAAAAAAGATTATTCTTAACCTGTCCCTATTACACATACTTGGTCTCCACTGTTCACTCAGATTATTACATCTTCAAAAAGGTATGAAAAGACAGAGGTTTTGATTTTTCTAGCTAGCAGATTGGTTAAAGATTCATCTGATTACTTTAATATAGAGCTGTTTACACTAGCACTGTTGTGCATTAGATTGCAGTGTAAATTTAGAAAAAGGTTTACAGACTTCAGGGGTTTTGTAACCTGTGTTATCCGGCACGCTTGGGGATTAGGGCGTTCTGGTTATCTAAAAAGTCCGGTTATCTAATGGTCCCATCAACCTAGGAAAAACCAATGGTTTATAGTAGTAAAACTCAAGTTTTTAATATTGGTAATTTTGTAGTGTAAGACGGTTGGTCTCACATTTCTGTTTTGAGTTAAAGATGATTGGTACTTCTTAAATAAAAAAATTGATAAGCCAATCATGGTAAACCAAGCCAGGTCTGTGTGCCTGAAGATGTGACAGTATTGTGGCTGGGGGCAATGCCAGTTAAAGTTTTCTGGTTAACAGAGTGCCGGATAACAAAGGTTTCACTGTAAGTTGTTTGTTGCACACACACTCTCTCTTCTTCTTCTTTTTTTTTAACATGTGTCCACACAGGAGTTTGCACTGGTTTAACTAAATGTGCTAAAAACAAGAAACTGTATCTTCTTAACGTGAATGTGTGTAGACAAGGCAAAGAACACCCTCTGCTACCACAATTTATAGAGTCTCAGCCAATATTCCCAGGATAACCAGTTTCATTCCTTTTCTCCACTCCTTAAAATAAATAAAATTATCAGTGGGAATGCAGGTGTTTGGTGAATATCATCCCACTCTTAAGGGAATCTTTCCATGTACTACACACAGTGATACAGTAAGCATGACAGCTAGCAAACAACCAGAGTTAAGAATTTACATTTGAGAGAGTTATTTTTAAATAAACAGTTACTCTCCTTGTTTGCATTTTAAAAAGGGAATATAACAATGTTAAAACAGTGCTCTGACAAGTTTAAGTGAAAATGCCAAATAGAATAAGAAACCATTACTGAATCTTAAGGTATCAGTGATTCTTCCATGTGTGTTGTAAACATTCTGTTGTTGGTACCCATGGTGTCCAATGAACTCAAATTCAGATTTTTAGCTAGCAGCATCCTTTAGAGAGCAGGCCTTCAGAGTATTATGCTGTGTTCAAAGACATAAAGGGCAGGACTGACTGACTGACTGACCGACCAACCAACGAACCACCCCTCCGTCCCTTCACTGGTACTGAAGCCACATAGGAGCAGGGAAAGGAACAATGAAATAGGAAAGAACAGTTACCTTTTGTAACTGTTTTTTGAGATGTTGCTCATGTCCACTTCAATGCGCATGCGCTACATACATGATTGTTGGAAGACTTTCCCCATCAGGTCAGCTGTGGTGCCCTCTTGTGGTGATATCTACTAGCATCACTTACATATCCCTGCCAACCCGACCCCTGCTTCAGTTCCTTCTTGCCAGAACAGTCCAACGGAGGAGAGGCGGATAGGTTTGGACTGAATGTGAGCAACACACATCTAACACCAATATAGTTATGAAAGGTAAGTAATCGTTCTTTCTTCTTAAGAGTGATTACTCATGTGCATTCCAATCTGTGACTTACCAGCAGTTTGTATGGAGGAGGGAGTGGACCTCAACCTGTTCCCGAGTGCAGGTCAGCCCTGCAGAACACCATATCGCCCCAGAACGGCTGGGTGAGGGCATAATGAGTCAAGAAGGTAAGTACTGAGGCCCATGAAGCTGCCCTACAGATGTCCTGAATTGACACTTGTGCAGAAAGGCTGCCAATAAGGCTTGCGCTCAAATGGAATGTGCTGTGATAGGCAGGGCGGGCACTTTGGCCAAGTCATAGCACAGCTTGATGCACCCTGTCAAGTGGTTTTGGGGAGAAGGACATCCTGATTAGGATGTGGCTTCGGCTGCACCGTACCCTTATAAAAATGTATTTGGGGGCTCGGAGCTCTGATACCTGTGTAGCAGAAGTCATAGGTACCAATAAGGCTGCTTTGTATGAGAGCAGATAGCAAGGGACTTGGAATGGGAAGGCCATGAGGCAAAATAACACCAAATTCAAGTCCCACAGCGGTAATGGCTGCTTCACCTGAAGGTAGAGTTGGTCCAGATTCTTAAGGAAATGACCCACCACAGGATCCCTGAAGAGGGACTTCACTCCCAAACCTGGGTAGAAAGCTGAAATAGCCCCTGGATGTACTTTAATGAATGAGACAGCCAAACCCTGGTGTTTGAGGTGAAGAAGGTACTCCAAAAGCAGAGGAACCACAGCCTGCTGAGGGTTAGCACCTTTATTGAGGTACCACAGGGAAAACCTCTTCCATTTGATGAGACAAGTAGCCCTAGTAGAGGACTTGCATCTGCCCACTAAAATTTCCCTTATTGAGTCAGAGCACTGGAGTTCAAGGTTGTTTAGCCATGAAGCTTCCATGCTGTGAGGAAGAGCAGCTCCAGATTTGGGTGGTGCAACTGGACAAACTCCTGTGTCAGCAGGTTGGGAACGACCCTTGGTATTAATGGTACTGGGAGCAGGGGAGGGTGTACAGGAACTGCTCTGTCCACAACAGGTGGAAAGAATCCAAGAGAGACCCTGGCTATGGCCCTGAAAGGAGCAGAACCAGGAACACTTCCTGCTTAGGCAAACCTACTTCCTGAAGATGGAGAGAGCCATATCCTCCCTGAGGGACCACTCATGGGATTGAAGAGACTGGCTGAGGTAATCTGCAAGGTTGTTCCGCATGCCCAGAAAGTACAAGGCTTGCAGGTGAATGTCAGGAGCAATGCAGAAGTCCTGCAGAATGGCCTCCTGGCCTAGGGGTGAGGCGCATGCACCACGCTGTCGTTCGATATAAAACATCGCTATGGGGTTGTCTCGTCAACAAGACACACTTGCCCCTCAGCTGAGGAGGAACTCCTGGGAAGCCAGCCAGACCACCCTGAGTTCCTGGACACTGATACGCAACATCATTTCTGTGAGAGACCAAAGCTTTGTGTCTGTAAATGAGTTAGGGGTGCATCCCATCCTATATCTGAGGCGTCCTTCAGGGTGCTCTTTGGCTGTGGGCTCATGAATGGGACCCCCCTACACACACTGTGGGACTGCATCTACCAGTTGACAGACTGCAGGGTTGCCAGCAGCATTGTGACGATGTGGTCACAGGACGAATATATGTATATGAATGAATAAAAACAAACCTCAAAACCCTATAAAGGCATTTGGGAGCGATGTTGTGTTCTTTGTTGAAGGCAGCTGCCAGAACAACATCACCAGTTCTAAAACATAAGAACGGCCGTACTGGGTCAGACCAAAGGTCCATCTAGCCCAGTAGACTGGCTGTCGACAGTGGCCAGTACCAGATGCCCCAGAGAGGGTGGACCAAAGACAATGATCAAGCGATTTGTCTCCTGCCATCCTTCTCCAGCCTCTGACAAACAGAGGCCAGGGGCACCAATTATATCCCCTGGCTAATAGCCTTTTATGGACCTAACCTCCATGAAATTATCTAGCTTCTCTTTAAACTCCGTTATAGTCTTAGCCCTCACAGCCTCCTCGGGCAAGGAGTTCCTTCATTATTGAGCATTGCGTGAAATACTAGTACTGAGAGGCATAAGATGTCCAGGAATGCGCGTAGGTGTTTGTTTACTGGACCACTTCATCTGGAATTATCAGTGCGTTGGTTCTGTACAGAATAGCTATCTAAGGTAGATCATTAAGGAACCACTTCCTACAGAGATGATGAATGAGCTGGGACACGATGGTCCTTTTCTTGTGACTATTAATCAGAGCTATTAACAGACTGGTCAACTGGCTGTAAGGCTCTCGTGTGAGGTGAAGGGTAATCTAACCCTAAATGCAAACACTGGCCTTCAAGGATGATACATTCCCCACAGAGTCCAATAAGGCCAAAGGGAGGATATCAAAGCACCATCCCTTCTTACTGCTTCTAGATTTATAGCAATACAGATTCACTTCTTATCTCACTCAACTGTATACTGGCCTGAATACCTACACCTCATGGAATTAGCTAGTGAAACCTCCCTTAGAGCCAAAGAGAAAAATGAGTAGTCTCGTAAGAAGCAACTGTACCAGCTGGTATTGTAGACATCAGTATAAGACGTGTCACGCTAAGAACTTACTAGGAATTTTATGCAATACTGAGGAAGCTGGTCAAAGGTGTGATCAGTACCTAACTGGGTGACAGAAATACTGTTTCTAAGCCTTGTGCTATCCTTTTTGTCTGGGGCTTGAGGCAGCCTTGGTGTAGGATACCTAAATCTCTTCTCCCCGTGCTTTGGAGATTTTACCAAGCATCTTTGGGAGCAGGAACTTTAGCTCAATGCATGGAGGAGCCAACAAGCTCCAACGCATCATTAGTGATCTTCAGCCCATCCTGGACAATGATCCCTCGCTCTCACAGGCCTTGGGAGGTAGGCCGGTCCTTGCCCACAGACAACCCGCCAACCTGAAGCATATTCTCACCAGCAACTACACACCGCACCATAATAACTCGAACTCAGGAACCAATCCTTGCAACAAACCTCGGTGCCAACTCTGCCCACATATATACACCAGCAACACCATCACAGGACCTAACCAGATCAGCCATACTGTCACTGGTACATTCTCCTGCACATCCACCAACGTAATATATGCCATCATGTGCCAACAATGCCCCACTGCTATATACATCGGCCAAACTGGACAGTCCCTACGTAAAAGAATCAATGGACACAAATCTGATATTAGGAATGGCAACATACAAAAACCTGTAGGGGAACACTTCAATCTTCCTGGACACACAATTGCAGATCTAAAAGTAGCTATCCTGCAGCAAAAAAACTTCAGGACCAGACTTCAAAGAGAAACTGCTGAGCTACAGTTCATCTTTAAGTTTGACACAATCAACTCTGGATTAAACAAAGACTGTGAATGGCTTGCTAACTACAAAAGCAGCTTCTATTCTCTTGGAATTCACACCTCCAGATCAGCTGCTAGAAGTGGGCCTCATCCTCCTTGATTGGATCCACCTGGTCATCTCCAGCCTGATCCTGGCCTGCATATTTATTCCTGCCTCTGGAAATTTCCACTACATGCATCTGACGAAGTGGGTCTTTGCCCACGAAAGCTTATGCTCCTACACTTCAGTTAGTCTATAAGGTGCCACAGGACTCTTCGTCGCAAGTGCTCAAAAGTTTCTGACTTGACATCCCAGATTGAACCCCTTATTCAGACTCAGCAAGCGTCCATCATTGAGAGACATTACAATCTCACACAAAGTGCAGTTTTTAAACCTGGAGATTTACATGCAGTAATAGTGACCAATCCCAGTATTAGTGCTAAATTTTAGGCAAAAGCAAACAAGTGAGTCTTCTTTTGAAGGAAGAAAAAGAGCTGTCAAAAACAAAACCTCTAACTCTAATCCTAAAGGAAAAACAAACTAACTAGCTTAGCACCGGTCTATAATTATTTGCATATGAAACTGCAGCATAATAAGCAAAGGTTCCCATCTATAAAAATTTAAATGCATAGCCACAGGCAAAGACATTGAAATGCCAGGCAGTTGGGGTTGTCTTGCCCTTTATGCATTCTATTGGAAACACTCAAGACACAAGCATGTGGCCCAACACACAAAGAATATGAACTCAAGTGCACAGGGCACATTCACCATTAGCAGAATACAGCATATGGACAAGCCCTGAAGTTTCCGCAAATATCTGATGTTAAACTTTTCCTCTTTTAAGGCCCCCTAATGTAGCCCAGGCGTGGCCAACCTGCGGTTCACAAGTGGCTCCCCCCCGTTCCCCAAAGAGCAGCTCACTGTTCCTGAGCCTCCCTCAACAGCCCCCGCTCACCAGGTCGGCGATTCAAAACGGCGCCCAAGATGGTGGGCATTCATGGGCACCTGATATGGCAAAAAAGACTAAGCTTGCTTGCTTCTTAAAGGGGCAGTCTCCTTTATTTTTTTTTGTTTTTGCTTGACAATTCTGGTGCGGCTCTTCTCATTTTTTTCCGCCGCTGTTTTGACTCTGTTAAATGGGTTGGCTACCCCTGATGTAGCCAGTCGACTCCCCCAAATGTATTGCTGTCCCAGCACACACAATACTGTCACAACTACCCTTGTCTACTGGCACCATACTGACAGATAATATTGTGGAATATCGCTGGAGTGATAACTATTCATAATTTTCTGCTTAAGTGATTTTACAAAGTTTTCCTTTTAAATATTTAGACTTAAGGATCAGAAATAAGCAGAAAACATCTTGATCAGAACACAACAGCTGAACTTGTGAACATATTTAATAAATCTGCCCCTGTAAACCACAATATTTTGACATTTCACAGTAAAACAGCTTGGATAAACAATCTTTTGAGGATTTTATAATTAAAATTAGCAGTGTAATAGGATTATGTATCAGTGGATGTTACACGAATAACAGATATTTTGTCAGTTTGATGGTAGAAATACAGCAGTTTCACATAATTTTCTATGTCATTTTCCCTCTTAACATGGGCTGCTTTTGCTTCAAATTTAAACAGTTTCCACCTGTGAAAATTTCTGAATTTTAGTCTGAATGTTGAGACAAGTATTAATTTTGAAATTCTCTCATTTTAATTTGAAATCCTCAGGGAAAGATATGTAAAACATCAGTCAAGTACCCAAAATAGAATTAATGTAGTAACCTAACAATAGCGCTCCATTTTATTATTCATTTAAAAAAAAAAACTTTTAAAAAACAAAAGAACAAGTAGTTCATTGTTACAATGATTAAAATTATCCTCACTTTTTCTTAGTGTTGACTTCGTGCCTTTCTCTTTTTTCTTCAGTGCTGTCTCCATTGTGCTGTGACTGGTTACTGTCTTGAGCATCAGGCCCTCCATTCAGTATTTTTGAACCTTTGAAGTTCCAAAGCAAAAAGACTGCATAGTGTCAGCAGAGTGCATTAGTAGTGAAAGGCAAAACTGTAAGTTACCGCAGAATCCTTCTGTAGCTAGCTAGGGATGTTAGATGTTGTGTATTTTAGAAATTGTGTAGCTGCAACAATTTTTAGTTATTACATGGTTACTAAATACAGTAAAACTCAGATGGTCCGGCATCTGACGGTCCGGCACTCCTGATGGTCCGGCACCATCAGGAACCCGGAAGTGCTCCGGACAGCCGGACCATTGGAGCTGCTCTGCCCCCAGCTTCCTCTATTCAGCTGCTGCTAAAACTGACCAGTGGCTGAATCGGGGAAGCTGGAGGCAGAGCAACTGGGGCACTGCCAGGTAGGTCCCATAGCGCTGCCCCTCAGGTGTCCCCGATTCAGCCGCTGCTGAAACTGACCAGCGGCTGA